ATCCTTAAGTAAATCAACAGATATTGTGGTTACAAGAGATGGATATGTTTGGCAGGGGTTGGACTCACTGTGTCTACCAATTGATTGAATCGATTGGTGTCCACACAATCATATTTGTCGACTGACAGCACATCCATTACAGCCATAATAGATGTCTCTAAAAGTCATATACAGTGTAAACAAACCATTGGTTAGACTTTGATACAAATAATGACAGTTTTGGTTGACTTTAGATTCAAAGCAGATCTCAATTCAATTCAATATAAACTGTATTTTGTTTATAAAACACTAATTGTTTGCTTCAAAGCAATCATTAAATCAATTGAAAGCAATGCAAGTGTTGAGTGAATGCAACGCGTGTTTCACATGTCATCACAAAATACACTCAAACCCTATAAGTTATAGGCTATAAGTTATAGGCTATAACTAATTGCTTACCTAATACACGCTTACAGACTGTACTGTACAGGTATACACATTGTATTGAATGCCCTAATATATATTAGGAATATTCCTACACAATAATGAGAGTACTAAAGAATTGGTATTGGAATTGGTAATTCATGTATTATGTGCATGTTTCATTATTCCAGGGTTAACTAATTAACAAGGTTCATTCTGTATATTTTAGGTTTATTAAATATATTTAGGCATGTTTTGTAAAATGAGATGCAATTACATAGAATGAGATGCAATTAAGCAAGGTCAGTGAATTGCCTTCAAACTGGGATTCATATTTGCCTATTAATGGTAAAAATGATTGACTGTATTGTGTATGACCTGTGGTTTGTCTGTATTCATAATGTTTGGGCTGTAATTGGAGTGAAGTATTGGATTGAGTGATATCTAGTGGTAATACTAGTGTTGTATTGCGTGTAGAGTATGTCATATGACTGTTAGTGTTGAGTAACTCGACTCCCACTCCAGTCTCGCAACAGTACATCACTCGACACACAATACACACAACACTACTCACTGGCAGTCACTGCAGGCATCACTTCATCACTTCTGGTAAGCATTTAATCATTCAATTGATTATCATTTCATTAAATTATCTTAAATTAAGTTTAATTTAAAGCAATTGAAAGCAATTAAAGGCTTTTGCGAACAAAATCTGAGATAATGTCAGTGGAAGTGAGCAAAGAATCTGAACCCTTAGAAATGGACGAAGAGGTGGCCGTTAAGGAGAAATTGAATCCATCAGCGGATCCGCAGCCGTCGATCGTGAAGTACACGGCGGCCAACGATAGCAAGAATGGCGAAGCGGTGGTGGATGTGGACAATGGGCTGTCGGGTGCGGTCGGCATGAGTAAGAAGGAGCTGTTGAAGTACGCCAACGACCCCTTTTGGGTCCGCCTTCGCATGTCTTTGTTTGTCATGTTTTGGGTCGTTTGG